GTCTAGATGCGAAACGATACGATTTTGACTGCTTACCTTGATAGATGGATCACGATACGATCGATGCACCTGGACTGGATATTGTACTTAATTGTAATAAGATAGATCGGAATGGATAGACAAAGATAGCGATGAATAGGAGAGATAGATGATAGCATAGTATGGATGGATTGGATAGATTGATCTGATAGATGGACTGTAAGATTTGACTTCCTGTATGGAAAAATGTGATAGCATTAGCATTGAAGCGAAAAGATTAGACTGAAGATAGATTCGATTCTGATAGCATTGATAGCATTGATTGTAATGTATAGATAGCTATATTGATAGATGCGAGTTGTGATATGATTGATATGATCTGATCAGATGGATGCGGATAGATGGATTTGATAGATAGATGCGCATAGGGTAGTATACGATAAATTGATAGACTAGCCATGGCGTAATGGATAGATTCAGATTGATCGCATAGATAGCAATGCGATACGATAAAGCATAGATTGGATGGATATAGGGATGGTTAGATAGATTGAACACCTGATAGATAGCATTGATACCGTACAGACCTCTGATGGATAGATTAGATTGCATAGACAGATAGATAGATGGAATAGATAGACGAGATTGAAATGGATAGACTGACTCAGATCAGCTATTGACTTGATCAGATAGATTAGATAAACACGATTTGATAGATAAGATTGATTCGCATAGATAGAGGATCTGGGATAGCAGTATATCGATCAGATTGAGTGGCATAGACATGGAAGATTAGATTGATGAATAGATAGATTGTTACAGACAGATTGCATAGATAGCACTTTGATCGCATAGATAGATTGGATTAAGGATAGAGGAGATGAACGATTGATGCAATAGATTGATAGATAGACCTTGACTTCGATAGCATAGAGTTGATAGAACAGCGATGATAGATAGATTGATCGATAGATAGATGGATAGATAGAGAGATTGATAGATTGATGGATAGATGGATAGATAGATTGATTGATAGACAGATTGATGGATAGATAGAGAGATTGATAGATTGATGGATAGATGGATAGATAGATAGAAAGATTGATTGATAGATAGATTGATAGATAGATTGATTAGATAGATTGATAGATAGATTGATTGATAGATAGATTGATGTAGATAGATAGATAGACTGATAAATAGATAGATTGATAGATTGATTGATAGATAGATTGATAGATTATTTGATAGATAGATGATAGATAGATAGATTGATTAGATAGATTTGATTGATAGATAGACTGATAGATAGATAGATTGATAGATAGATTGATATAATTGATAGATAAGATAGAATAGGATGGATTGGATGGATAGTTACATACATACATATATACACATCTGTCTATACATATATTTAATATACACATACATACACACACTCACAGATAAATATGTATATATATATATATATATATATATATATATATATATATATGTATATATACATACATATACATAGTATATTTGCACAATATATAGATATATGAATACATATACAAACATGTGTGTGCGTATATATGTATACATGTATTTATCTGTCTATCTATATCTCTATCTATATATATTTATATATATATATATATATATATATATATATATATGTATATAATATAATATATATATATATATATATATATATATATATATATATATATATATGCGCGCGGCGCGTGTGTGTGTGTGCATGTCAGTGTCTGTGTTTTGAGCGTGTGTGTATGTGTGTGCGTATTTGTGAGTGTGTCTGCGTGCGAGTGTGTGTGTGTGTGCGCTTGCGCGCGCGTATGTGTGTGGTGTGGGTGCGTGTGTGTGGTTGTGTGCGTGCGTGTGTGTGTGTGTGTGTGTGTGTGTGTGTGTGTGTGCACGCGCGCGCGTGGTGTGTGTGTGTTGTGTGTGCGTGCGTGTGTGTGTGCGTGTGTGCCATTACTACTACAAGTGATAGTGATAGTAATAGTGATTTATACTGATAATGATAATAATAACAATAATGATAATGATAATAAGTGATATTAATGATAACAGTAATACTGATAGTGAAAAGTTATCTTTTTTTTTTTTTTTGCTATTGTTATTGTTAGTATCATTATCAGTATCACTGTCATTTTCAATTTCATTATCATTTGGCATCATCAGCGATAGATCAAAGAAAATGACAATGGTAATAATAGCAGTGATATAATGATATCAACATCTGCTAAAACAATCGTGATGATAGTAGAAATAATGATAGCAATGGCCATGATAATCAATTTCTAAAAAGTTAAATGAGTATGCCAGGAGCGAGCTTGCACCATTTAAGAGAGAACTGGCCTAACACAAAATAATTAACCATGCACTTCTATATACTTTCTATTATTACTCACATGCACTCTTCGATCCATAAAAAATCAGAATTATCGCAAACCTAAAATTAACTGTAGATACCCCGATGTTAGCTGAAAACAAAATTCGAGATAAGAAAGTAACCCCGCGCTCGCTAGGGAGAGGAAGAGCCTAGCAGAAAGCCAAGAAGATAAGCTGGTAGAACAACATCGCTTGATATTGTGGAATTAGTTGGCGATTCTGTGGTAGTACGACATTGTTGTAGGCAACCGTTTAACAGTAGAGCATGTGAGTATACTAATGAATAACCCCTAAAGATTGTGGAAATCGATAATTTTGGGTTAAAGGCGGAAAAAAAGGTTATGGTTCACCCTCCACGAAGTCTGGCCACTTCGGAAAACCCATCAAAAGTTATTCCTATTTTTTCCCTTCGCGGCAGCTTTTAGAGTTAATGATACATTAAACGGCTTTGTTTGCAAGGTAAAACAGATAGTATGACATTTGCCATGCAGTGACACACTCCAAGACCGTGTGTACAAAAGACACCATAGGCCTATCTAGTGACCGCAAATACGTATCATAAACACCATTTAACTAATTGACTTTATTCCTTCGCTTCTATTTCATGTGAGTTCTCTAAGTTAATAAGAAACGATTCAAATAAATAGAATGTGTTGTATTTCATTCCAGTTAATCAAATAGATGAGTAGTGCATGAAAATGACTCACATGGATAAGGCATGTAATTATGAGCTTCAATTTAAGGTGATTAAATAGTGTGTCATAGATTCCATATGTAGCGAGTGTGTCTAGCTAAAGGTCTTTACAGATTTCACGTAAAGAGAGTTAAACACATAGATTTAATATATTTAGATTCTTTATATATTCACACAGTTATACATCTCCATTGTTGCATCATACTTATGCAGCAGATGTTCAATGGAATCAGTGTACGGTGTTTATTGTCTTTATGCCATGGCTGCAATCAAGAGATAAGACGGACAGTATATGAATGGACAACGCTAATATTCAGAATATTGATTAATACTGCTTTCCTTAGTTGTTTATCCTAGTGATTGGTTGTCAGAAGAACAGAAGAAACAAAACAAAGTAAAGGTAAAGAAGTGAAAATATGCAGATAGGCTTATCCCATACTTTCACTTCCTGTGTTCTTGTCTTTCCTGGAGGTTATTTCCTAAACATACATATTCACAGAATGAATAACTAGTATAATTAGTACAGATATACTTGAAAATTGTTTTACACATATGAATTTATGAATGACAAACTACCTATTACTATTTTTACTAGGAAAACAGATCCAGAAATATTGACAATGAATCTATCAGTCTTTGTCCAAAGAATAGAAATAAGAGACGAAATAGTACCATTAGATAGCTTTGGTAATATATATTTATTTTTTTTTTTTTTCTAATTTATACGAAGGTTTTGATACTGACTACTGCTAAAGCTATCACTCTACTTATAAGTATTTATGAAGAAGTAAGGCATTAGAACCATTGTATTCATTACTGTGGATTTCAGTAGAAACTAATTCATTGTTTTAAGAAATGCCTTTATTTCTATGAAAGTGATATGCATCAGTAAAACAGTCAAAGGAGATAGCTTGAGATATATATATATATATACTTAGCTGTGTTGCACAACTTGCAAAATGTGTATTTAGATGTATATTACATGATTAGCCCATCTGAGAGAAGAACCATATTACAGTTGTTTTATTGCACAAAACTATATGTCTCTGTCCACTTTTGATTTTTCCTCAAAGGCTGATTTTATCTGGACTGACTTGGCAATGCGTTCATTATAGTTTTCTTGTATGAATGAATTTAAAATGAAATCATTCAGCTATGACAGTATTTTATACAGGTAATTAGATGTAAGTACTGTGTATGCACTTGTATATGATAGAAAGGAAGTTCTTACTTTCAGAATAAGGTTTTAAGGTTTTGATTTCAAAGAATATAATATTTTAAGGTTTACAATCGCAGTGTTATTGACTTGCAACCACGTAATGTAATATAGTTGCAGAAATGAGAACATTAAATATTAACGATGTTTAGTCTAAGGGATTAGTTGAGAGGTTGATGAGTCTGAAATTAATGTTTCCGACATATTGTTTTTATTTATTAATGAGTCTGTCGTTGTTTGCATATTCTCCTTTTTTTCCATGATCCTATGGTTAAAGTTTTGGAATTTTCAAATGGTAAAAAAAAAAAATATTATATATTACTTTGACTCAAGGGCAGCATTGTCTATGAAGATGGTTAAATATAGAATGACTTGGCAGCAATTTTTAGAACAAGCCGTCAGCAGAGGAGCCAGTATGAATGAAAGAGCTTGCAAGATGCAGTATTTGAATTTGATGTTTACTCTTCCTCCTTGTAACACAGAGTAATAATTTTGTACAAAGCTCAAAAGTATAGAGTTGTTGGTCAGTGTGTTCCAAAATTTTAAAAGCTGGAACAGGTGTATTATTAAAGTATTTTAGGTTGCTACGTTACCATATGTGATTTATATATTACCTCATAGTAACGATGATGGAACAGCTTATCAGATAGCATATTATTATCAGTGAGATATAGAGGAAAGCACAGCAGTCAGGAACTCCCACCCATCGCGGACTGTGAGTTTGACAGATCTATTTTCAAGAGTCGGTCTAGGCATCTGTGTTTATTTGTGGATTTTTTTTTTTTTGTTTGTGTTGTGTGTTGTTGTGTGTGTGTGTGTGTGTGTGTGTGTGTGTGTGTGTATGTGTGGGTGTGTGTGTGTGTTGTGTGTGTGTGTGTGTGTGCTTTTATTGTTTGTTTCCAATGAATGCAACATTGTTCTCTTTGGTCATGATTTTACAATATGTAAGATGTATGGACATGGGGATGTGTAATGTGTTGTGTCTGTGTGGTGTGTTTGTATTGGTAGTTCAGTGTTAGGAATGTTTACAAGTGTGAATGTATTTACATTTTGTTGTGTGTGTTTTTTATGTATGTATGTATGTGTTCGTGTATGCGGTGCTATTATATATGGGTGTCTGTGGAAGCATTGTTGGATGCATACATGTTTGTGTGTATGTGTGTAGTGTCTTTTCATGTGCATGCATGCATATGTGTGTGTGTTTGTCTGTTTATGGGTATTTGTTTGTAGGATGAAGTGTGTGTGTGTCTATATAGGTGTGTGTACATGTGCATGTGTCAATGTGTGCAAGTATGCTTGCATGCATAAGTGTGCATGTATGTGAGTACGTGTATAGCTGTGTGTGTGCAAATGTGTTTGTTTGTTTGTTTGTCTTTACCAGTGTGTTTGTTTATGCATTTATGAGCCAGTGTATGATTGTATATGTATATGCACATTTTTTTACATTCTTATTTTTATTACTTTTCTTGTTATCCCATTTTTTCATGACAAAGTTTTTTTTAAACTTTGCGGTCATTGAACATATGATAAATCTGTAGTCACCATTAACATTAAAATTCTGTTACTTTAAAATGGAATGAAAAAAATGCAGCACCAGGTTCAGTGCAGCAACATCTAGCATTATCAGATGCTTACGTAACCTGTAGTATTTAGTAGGTTTCTGTAGCAGATCCCATTAATGGTCAGAGAAAGGGGAAGGTACGGTGGAGGGCTGGTGAGTAAGCCAACGTAGTAAGGAAGGAAGAGCAGTCATTCATTTACTCATTTCTTTTTCATTGACCCAGTGTGGCTTTGTTTTGATAATTTCTTCAACCTGTAGATGGTTTCACACGTGCTTTGTCACCGGGGAGGCAATTACTAGGCCTACCTGACTTTACCTGCTTTCTTTAGTCCTTGAATTTTGGGGAGTTTTCATTTCAGTTGCTGTTACCAATGTTACTGATGATGATATTTTTATTATTATGATTACAGTGTTGTTAATAATGATAATATCCATTAGAATATGAGCCTTTCTCTAAAAATTCAAGGAATAGGGTAAATAGGCGAGGTGAGATAGGCCTAATCTGTGTGTGTAAGATCAATAAGACAGGAGCCATTGTGGACAGTGCGTGTATAAATGAACTCTCAGCTTCAGTTGGTTAATGTAGTTGTTACTGGTACCTCTGCTTGTTTATTGGTGTATCACATATGCTTTATTCATGTGCTCTTTGTGAATACCATGCCAACATACTCACTGTAAACATCATAGTAAAATTGATATAGGTTATAAATTCATACAAGACTGATGAAATATCTGTGTTGCATGATTGAAATTATGTTGTCAAAGACTTTCCTTGAAAGTGGACTCATTGATTATTTTTTTTATGATGGCGCACATGCAGGACTGCGTTAGCTCGAGCAGTGGTGATGAATTGTAACATTATTTATAAGACTCAAAAGCAACTTCAAAACTTTTAATGTTTTACCCCCTAGAGGTATCGATGATATGATGGGAAATTTGCTGTCCTAAATTGATTAGAAAAAAGAAAAAAAAAATATGAATAAGAATAAGAAAAATAAATAAAAACCTAAAAAAAGAAAATGCAAAAAGGATATATTGGAGAAGGAGACTTGGAAGAGGAGTTTTGTTGTAAGTGTGCGAGGATTTAACTTTTATGACCCATCAAAAGAAGACATCAGTGTGTTCTTATCCCCCTAGCATGACACCAGCAGAATGGAGGATAGTCAGGAGGAGCGAGTGCATGACGAGGAGGAGTGGCATGTGGAGGCCATGGCTGTCATCCAGGACGTAAAGGACTGCGTCTCACAGATCAGCATCTCGTCCCTCCCTTCCTCGAACACCACCATCTTCTTCAACCTTACCACCAGAGAGAACAACTTCTACTGCATCGAATTGACGGCTTCTGGTTTAACACAGGTACAGGAATGACAGGAGGGGGGTTCTAGTCTGAGGCCCGTGCTGGGGGAAATGTTGGTGAGGGGTGCTTGGGATGGGGAAGGGAATGATAGGGTGTAGAAGCCTGCACTCTCTCTCGGACACGCGACTCCCTCATCACTCTTTGGTCTTTCTCATGCTCGGGATGCGATCTCGCAGTCTTAGATACTCTCTCTCTCTGCTTATGTCGTCTCTTCTCTTCTCTCTCTCTTTCTTCCTGATGCGGTCAGGGTCATAGCTCATCCTGCGTCTCTCTCTCTCAGGATCGAGATCGTGCTAGTGCGATCGTCTCATCAGTACAGCGAAGATACATGCCCTCATACTCTCTGACTCGATCGTAACGACTCCCTCTCTCTCTCCTCGGCGTCGCACTGCTGCGGTCACGGCGATCGTCGTCTCATTGTGGCCGCCACTCTCTTCGGCGCATCCATAACTTCATTCCTTATCCATTTCTCCGCGCTCTTCCTTCTCTATGTCGTGCGTTCTCTCCGCGCCTCTACTCTCTCCTTGTCCTCTCCCCTCTCTCTCCGTTCCTGCTCCTCCTTTCTCTTCCTCCTCTCCCTCTCTGACCTATCCATTCCGTTCATATCGACGCCTCTCTCTCCTTCTGCTCTCTCTCCTCCTCTCTCTCCATCTCTCTCTCTCTTCTTTCATCTTCCCATCTCTCTTCTCTCTCTCCCTCTTCTCTTCACTCTCCCTCTCCTCTCTCTCTCTTCCCCTTCTCTCCCTTTCCTCTCCCCCTCTCTCTCTCTCTCCTCTCATCCTGCCCCTCCTCCCTTCGTCGTCACTCACTCTCTCTCTCTCTCTCTCTCTCTCTCTCTCTCTCTCTCTCTCTCTCTCCTCTCTCCTCTCTCTCTCACTCTCTCCTCCTCTCTCCTCCCTGCCTCTCCTCCTCCCTCCCCTCTCCTCTCCCTCCCTCTCCCCTCCACCCCTCTCCTCCCTCTCCCTCTCCCCCTCCTCCCTCCCTCTCCTCTTCCCTCCTCACCCTCCTCTCACTCACACTCACTCACTCATCACTCACTCACTGTGTTTGTGTGTGTGTGTGTGTGTCAGTTTGTAGTTGTAATATTGCCATGTAATTTGTTCACATTTGCTACTTGCAAAGTTTTTTTTTTCATTCTTTCTTTCGTTATTTATTTATTTATTTTTGTATGTACATATGCTTTCCTCTTTTTTTCTTTTTTATTTCTTTATTTCCTTCTATATTAGCTAATAGTCATAGTATAGTAGTTCTTTATATTGATTGTTGCATGTTGTATCGTCCATTATGCCATTAAGCGTCCAAGAAGACGAAGTTCTAGCAATAAGGCATAACCTGACAGGTGAATTGTTAACCTCTGTGTAGCGTCGAGTCTAATGGTACAGGTGAGAACCTTGGATCCTGGTTTGCCACACGATATCAAGTTGCACAGCTGGTCTTGCCAAGTTCATTGGGCATAAGTAGGGTGAAATATGCACATTTTGTAAAGTAGTTAGTGTCATGGTGATTTACAGGAAGAGTTTATTATTTTTACTCTCTCTCTCCTCTCTCTCTCTCTTCTTTTTATCTTTTTATCTTTTTATCTCTTCATCTTTCATCTTCATCATTATATATCATCCTTCTTTATATTTATCTAACTCTTCTGCCTTGCTTCTCTCTTCTACTTCTTCTTCTTCTTCTTCTTCTTCTTCTTCTTCTTTTCATTCTTTATCTTTGATGATGATAAAGCAATGTACTGGACTGTAATGCTAGCAGGGGTTGCAAGGACATAGAGAATTTATTTATATTTGATATTCTCTCCCCAATTCATAAAGTTGTTCATGTCTTCTGTAATATTCATAAACATGCTTGGTATACAGAGTAGGATATTGTTTACTATGTATATATATATATTTTTTTTTTTCTCCCTATCTTGCCTTCTTGATTTACTACTTCATTATGCCTTTGCTCTGCATTATCAGTTCTCATTTTGCATTGTTGTACATAGCTGCTTAAAGTTCTATTTTCATTATCATTACTGTTATAATCATGTGGTCATTGTAGATATTTGTACCAGATGAATTATGTCGCCAGGATTGTGAGCAGAAAGCACGATGACAACAGCGAACCTCTAGAGCAATACTACGAGACACCTTACGCACTATTGGACAGCATCAGCCCCCTCTACAGAGAGAGCTTCAGCTCGGCACTGGCAGCCAAACTGATGCTCCTTGAGAGCTTGAATGAGGCAGATGAGCCAGAATGATCAGTGAATCATGAAAAACTGCAGAGAAAGAAGGAAGAAAAGGCTTCTTTTGCTCTCACTCCACAGAATTTTAGCTTAGTAAGAAAGTAGCATGCTAAACGTGACTCAGTGCAGGTGTGCTGAATTGCTGTAGTAGGTGTTGTATTGTAAAAAGACTCGACAAAATATTTAAAGCTCTCTGGCCTGGAGGTCTGTGAAACGTCAGTTCAAAGTGGAGGCTTCTCTTCTAACTCTGAAGTCTTAGATTTTTTTAAGGGAATGGAGACACTGTAATAAGACACTTACATAGATGAAAACTGGAACTTTCATGCAGTTGAAGTGTAATTAAAATTCTGCTAATTATGTGATATAGAAAAAGAAATCTAGAAGCCAGCTTTCCTGAAACAACAAGTAAAACTAAGGGTAAGTTTATTTTTTTCCATTGATCATAGACAGTATGAAAAAGATAATATATGTATACTTCTTTTTTGTGTGAATGCAAATTATTTTGCATCTCTAAATAAGTACTGGTAAATGAATGCTATTTTTCTATATTTGTGGTAGAACGAAAGAAGTTTTTTTTTCCTTCAAGGCATGTTTCTTCTACACAAGTGATGTGTACGAACTTCATTGTATTTGTGAACAGTATTGACACAAAAATGAATAGAGATTAGATGTGTTCACTGTCAAGCATGAGATCATTTGATAATACATTATGGACTGTAACAGCAATGTCTTTTATTTTATAACTCCCTTATTTAGAAGATCTGACTTTAGAATATCTCTTGTATTGTACATTAAAGTAAAAATCATATATGTTTTCTGTCATACTCCCTTCATTCAGGTTTGTTAGTATTTTTTTTATTGGTTCGTAGTGTTCATTTTTTTAACATGAAATCTTGTTGTGATGTATTGATTTCATTTCCTCCAACAGAGTCATGTTTTTAATACACAGCTAGAGATGGAGTTCTGCTTCTGTAATGAATTCTCTTATTGCTGTCACTCTTTAAATGTATTTATTTATCTCTGCACTATCTCAGTTTTGTGAACAAGGAATACATTATCAAAATAGAAATGGACATAAAATGGTAATGGCAATTGTTGAGGACTACTATAGCTAAACAGATGGAGTGTTGAACAAGCATCTGGCAGACACTTATCAGGGGCTGTGGTGGCTTCTATGTTATGAGAATAGCCTGGAGAACTGCCAGGGTATTCCGTAGTATAAATCACCAGCTGTCATGTACAGAGAGTAATGCCCAAGTGATGTTTTGAGCCTTTTACTGAAATATGTGTGTGTGTGTGTGTGTTTGTGTGTGTGTGTGTGTGTGTGTTGTGTGTGTGTGTGTGTGTGTGTGTGGTGTGTGTGTGTGTGTGTGTGTGTGTGTGTGTGTGTGTGTGTGTGGTTGTGTGTGGTTGTGTGGTGAGAGTGTGGGTGGTTGGGTGTGGTCTGGGTTTGTGTGTTTTGTATGGATATGTGTGTATTGTGTGTGTGTGTGTGTGTAAAGGGGGGGGATGAGTGGGGAGTGGGTGTGGGTGATGGTGTATGGTGTGAGTGTGTTTATGTGTGGTGTGTGGTGTGTGTGTGGTGATATTATTATATATAATATATATATATATATATATATATATATATAATATAATATATATAATATATATATATATATGTATGTATATATATATAATATGTATGTATATATATGTATATATATGTATATATATATATTATATATGTATAAATATATGTATATGGTATAATATATATATATATATATATATATATATATATATAATTATATATATATATATATATATATATATATATATGTATATATATATAGATACAAAGTAATGAAATGCAGATAGAAGTATTGGATATTTGGTTGAGTTAGACAATCTAGAAACAATAGAAATATCCATATATTGTCTTTAATACAACTGTGCAAAGTTGTATAAAACTCTCAAGCAATATTTTCATAAAGCAAGACCCCATTATAAGGATGGAGGCTTAGAAGAGGCCCGTCATATAATACATAGGCGTTCGTCCTGTTGGCAAAATGCCCCCTCTATCTCTAGGGTTACGCATACTTTTTGTTTTCTTTATGGGAAATACATTCTGCCTCGATCCCACCCAGTCCACTCGGCCCGATTTAGATACCTCTTTTTCTCGGGCTTCTCGTGGTTAATGTGATGATTGTTGTTGTTGTTATTTTTTTATTATTTTATTATTGTTATTATTATTATATTATTATTATTATTATTATTATATTATTATTATTATTGCTATTATTTAGTACTATTTTTTATTATCATTATCATTATTATTGTTGTTATTATTTTGTTTATTATTATGATTGTTATAATTATTTATTATTATTATATTGTTATTATTATTTATTTATTTATTATTTATTGTTATTATTATTATTATTATTATTATTATTATTATATATTATTATTATTATTATTATTATTATTATTATTATTATTATCCCAGCTTTACCAAATTATATTGCTTGAGTGTTTCATTGAGATCATCATTGATATTGCAGATGGTCAGTAGAGAAAAGATTTAGCATTGTTGGGCTGTTAAAGGATATGAAAGCGGCAAAATAGTACTCTAGTACTGTAGTTAAATAGTAATAGCAATTTTTTTTCTTTTTTTCTTTTCTTTTTTTTCTTTTCTTTTCTTTTCTTTTCTTTCAATCTTTTTTCTTTAATTTTTCTTTTTTTTTCTTTTTATTTTTTTTTTTTTTTTTCCTTTTTCTTTTTTTTTTTTGCTTTTCCTTTTCTTTTTTTTTTTTTTTTTTCTTTCTTTTCTTCTTTTCTTCTTTTCTTTCTTTTTCTTTCTTCTTCTTCTTCTTCTTCTTCTTCTTCTTCTTTATATTTATATGGCATGCTATTACTAGTCTGGTGTTAAATGTAGTATCCCATTGTCACTGGCGAAGGCATGTAAATACCTGCCGTGTCCAATGTGATTTTAGTTTATTTATTGTGTTTACTCGTAGACATCTTCACTCGTAGACGTCTTCACAAGTGTTTAGTCAACAAGAAGTTTGTTTCTGGTCTTATCTATTTCCCTTGTTTTCCCTTTTTCTTGATAATAAAAATGAAGAAGTAAAAAGGGATTGATAGATAGATAGAGATATAGAATTAGATTTCTTTCTTTCTTTCTTTCTTGATGTTAATGTTTATTGTTAAAAGTTAATAGTTAATACTCCTTATGTCAACAGTAATAAAGACAGTGACAATATTAATTAAAAAAAAAAAAATTAAGATTCGAGGGAAGAGGAAATCAGGAGAGGTCATATAGGCCTATTGATAGACCCTTTGGTGGCTTCTGGAACCATCTATGTGTAAACAAAATTCACGGAAGAAAACGACAGTTGACATAAATTTCCTGGCAGCACCATCGGGTTAATAGACAAATGTATTCTATGCATCAGAGAGGCAGACTTATTTTTAACGTGATTAGTAGGCAATGGAAGTGATGAGGAAAATGTGCGATGAGCATAAAAGTAAAATGCAAGTGGGTAGATTAGCAAAGGAATTATTTGGAGTGTGCGACTTTTTATTTTTATTTTATTCTATTTTTTATTTTTATTTATTTATTTTTTTTATTAGTTATCTATTTATTTTTATTTTTTTATTATTAAAGAAAAGAAGGAGAACTAATAGTCACGTTTTATGATAGCATTTTTAACAAATCATTATTCCTGTAATCATTCTTTTTAACATCTACTTACCATTTTTTGAAGCACATCTTGCAGGAAAGAAAGCCGTAAAAAGCGCAGATAAAAAAGGTTTTTATATCCGCAGTAAGATGGGTCAAGGCAACAGCAACCCTTTACGGGAGAACCTGGAGTCCCTTCACAACCAGCTGATGAGACAAGCCGGTGCCGATTACGACATCGCGACCACCACCACACTCACCTACGACCACTTCCTAGGATACATTACACAACTGAATCAAATGTAAGGGCTCTGTGTTACTCGGGAGTTATTTCTTATATTTTTCTTTCTTTTTATTTTTTCCTCTTGTTTTCCTTTCTCTCCTTTTCTTACTCTCTTGCATTCTTTCTTTCTAGATTCTCTCTCTCTCTCTCTCTCTCTGCTCTCTCTCTGCTCTCTCTCTCCCCGATCTCTCTCTCTCTCTAACTCCTCCTCTCTCTCGTCCTCTCTCCTCTCTCTCCTCTCTCTCATTTTCTTTCTTTTTTCTCTCTCTTCGCTCTCTCTCTCTCTTCCTTCTCTCTCGTCTCTCTCTCTCTTCTCTTACTCTCTTCATCTCTCTCTCTTTTCCTTCTACTCAAGTTTATTTTTTTCTTTTGCTTGTCAGTGTTTTTTTCTTTCTTTTCTCACTTTCTTATTTTCAAGGTTCTCTTTCATCTTTCTCGTAGACTTTCTTACCAAGTGATTTACTTGAAGGATAACAGATTGCGAGATGTATCCGTGAGTGATGTTGCCAGATAATCCCAGGTCATGATTGCCTGGAGTTCAAGGCGTCATGTTTACCGATTCGCGAACAGTTTAGCTTGCGTTACCTCATGATTGAACAGTTATGTTGGCATTAGGGAAACTCTCTGGCTTCAAATGTTCACTGCCTAGGAAATAATTTTAGATTAGTTTTATTTGCTTCATTATTGATTTTTTTTTATATTTGTGATATGGAGCATTTATGTTCGAAGTCTTTAATGAATGGATGTATATTTATCTTCAGGAATTATACACATGTGAAATTTTTATCCAAACAGATGTAGAGAGTACAAAGATAGCGAGGGTCACGTCCTTGTATTTGCTGTGAAGAAAGGTACAGATTCCACGATATTCTGGAAAGCAACAGTTCGTATTGCATGTGTGAAACTCAATACATCGACAAATAAGGTCCAATCGTACAGGCTTCTCAATATACGACAATTTCTACAGGTAAGCAGCAATGGAAAATGCAGTTATAGGTTGGCATGGAATGTGAATTTCATATATAAATGTCTAATGAATGAAACTATGTTGGGAATTTTCTAGGAATCCCTTGAAAATATTTTGTTGTTCATTCATGAGATGAAGTCATGTTCAATTATTTTATACAGTGTTCAAAAATGTTTTTTTTCAGGTATTCCGTCGTATAACATATGAGTGCACAGGTGGCTCCTTAGGTGGTGTTGAAGGCATGCTTGGTGTTGATTCTGCAGGTAAGCTTATTTACACTGATGTTTGAGAAACAAACTTATAGGATTTTTACCAAGGTGTATCACTGAAACAGTTAACTCTTTGATTCCAAGATGCCATATACAGTACATGCCATGTCCACTGTGATTTAGTTTATTTTTGCACACACACAAATGGAATGAGTTGTTAGTACTACCTGATCTCACCTGTTTACCCTTTTCCTTGATTTTTGGAATTATATTTATTTTTTATTTCTAAGTGAAGCTAGAATTGATAATCATAATATGATAATCCCAGAGTCAAGAGTGATAGTAATGATAATATTAATGTTATTAGCAGTATTAGAAGAAATTAAGAAATTTCCCCCAAAAAATTTAGATTCGGGATATCAGGTGAGGTTAGTGAGTAAGTACTTGTGAAGCCATCTGTGTTCAAACAAAATAAGCATGATAAAATACAGACTAAATTTTAGCCTCTATGAATCAATGGGCCTTCATTGAAGCAATAACTTTTCATGTTTGTACCTCCATTACATAATATACATTTCTGTAATGTTTCCAAAGATGGCAGTTCAGCTGTGCGGAGCGAGGAAGTGTCTGTCCCTCCTACTATGGCAGCGTCGATGGTCCTGGGAAGGATGCAGGAGCTCCAGGGCGGGACAGGAAACCCCTTGCAGGAGGAAGATCTACGAAGTGATGGTGCCACGGGGACCTGCGGAACGAGTCTGGAGGAGTGCGTCATCTGCCTGGAGAGACGGCCGGATGTGATCCTCCCCTGCGCCCACGCCTACTGCCTCCCCTGCATCGAGCAATGGTGGGAATATGCTAGCCCCTCCTCTCAAGAATGTACTTCCAGCAGTGTTGTGTACTCCATGTAAGAGAGAGAATGTCGATTTGCAGGGTGCTTTCGAACCCTCATATCTTCTGCTGAAATTGCTTTGCTTGCTTGCCTTGCTCACACTAAACCTCTCTCTCTATCCAGTCTTGCATTTGGTCGTCTTGTAGGGGCACATGTGGTCAATCATGGAAGGATCTCTGGGGTGATTCTTACTATTTTACTAAGCTTAAGAATATTATTTTTGTTTACTTCATATTCCATAAAATTTTCTTGTTTTAAAGCAGTTCAGTTTGGATTTTCTTATTTGATTACTTCTGTGATTCCCTTTTCCTCTTTGTTCTCTTATGATTACTTTAAATCATTAGTCATCTTTGATATTATTTTTCATCATCACTGATTTTGTATTTGATATAATCTTTATAATTTTCTGTTGGCATGAATAAATCCTGTTTTATATATGCTTGCTGTTTTATAATTAGTTTAGTTTTTGTCTTTTGTTATTTTTAATGTTGGATGAGGAATACAGAAGTATGATAAAAAGCATAAATATGAATAAAAAGTAATTATATGTAATTTTTATGAGTTAGAAATTTAAGATGGAAAATGCCAATAAAACAAACAAATTCTGAAAACCAAGAGATGTCCAAAGCGTGAAGGGAAAAGAAAAAAAAGAAAAAAACGGGTAAATTCTATGACTAGATGCCCAAGTGAAGCAAAGATCCCCATGAGAGACTTCCAGTTTGTCATGTAGACATTAAAGTCTAGTACTAATAGGTTGTGTATGTATGTTAATCTAATGTTTGTTTAACTATTTGTGATTTTCTAATAACCGTTAACCTCTTTGTGTACTCGTATTTTATATAAGATTAATGTTGTATAACTTCAGCTTGCTTGCATTTGCTCTGTCTTGCATTTCGTGCATTTTCGTAACCCAGCAAGTTTGAATAACTCTTTTCCTAACATCGTAACAGGCAAGTTGGTTGAATTTTGTTTACTGACAAGGATATGATTAGTGAACGGAAATTATTTTCAATTTAAAAAAATCTTACCAGTTGGAGGAATGCTCTATGTAGGGCTAAAGGATTTTCTGTACAAATAGAATTTTTCAATATATATAACAAAATATTACAGATATAGAGAAGGCAGAGATGTAATATAGATAGTTTTTTCTTTTCTTTTCTTTTCTGTTTGTTTTTTGGGGGACAGTTTGAATACTCAACATTTTTATTACTTTCAGGTTATAAATGTTGCATATTTGCACAGGCATAGAAGTACTCGCACGATGCTGGCACAAGAAAATACTTTTAAAAGTGTTTAGAACTTGGCTAATATTTAATAGCTGAACAAAATACACAAAGTTATATTCAGATGCTAAGATGTATCAATAAGGGTAGAGCATTAATGACAAGATAAAGGTGATCTTTGTAAAGAAGTAATAAGATTTTTGTATTTAGAATTTTTTATGCATATTTGTCAGTAATTTGATTCATTGGCAGATTGAAATGTGGGCATTTTATTTTTAAAAAATAAAAAAAAATGCCATTATAAAAATCAATTTGGCCACATGGTTATTTCCATAAATAGTAAAAAATACACTTTGTGTGTGTGTGGGTATATATGTGTATACATACGAAGTATATATATGCTAACACAAATAGCCTTCTTTGTGTAAATACGATTATATAGCTTCTCACAAAAGGCAGACATTAATGGGAATAAAATCATAATGACTCCAAATACAGTTTGTTTCTTCTCGTGGGTTTGCCGTTGCCTTCAACATATTCTTGTAAACAGCAAAGTTTGACATACAGTCACATTTCCTTTATTTTGATCTACCCTTTACAGGTCTGTTGTGGACAAGACGTGCCCCGTGTGTCGCGAGTCATTGAAGAGCACAGACGATACTTGGGTGCTGTCGGAAGTGCCAGACGACGACCAGGTTAACGAAGAGATCCGCAGAACGTTGATCGGCTTGGCAGGAGACAAGGCTCAGAGTCCTATGTAAAAAGCAGAAGAAGGAAAAATGAGAAGGGAGAATCAATAAAGTAAAAGAAGTAAGAGGAATAAAAACAATCAGGAATTGTGGAAAATAAATCTGAATTTCTTTTTCTTTGAAACTGTAAATAGCAAATATAGTACATGAAGTACAGATTTTACAATACATAATTATTTGGAATCTTTATAATGAGTGAATATAATTTTTTTGCTCTTTTTTTGAAGTGGCAGTCATAGATAATGCCATACTCTATGAATGAGTTTAAGCTAGAAACTCCGGACTTACTGGAACTGGCATAATGTAGGATTTTGACTTCAAGAAAAATGAAATATCGGTACACGAGATCAAAAGTGTATAGTACCGCAGGAGAGCATTTTGTATGCCAAAAATAAGAGCAAAGGAAAATTATACCATACATTTCCTTCTACCACAATTGAGGACTTTTTAAGGAGGTGTCCAAATGTTGTGATGTTATTCACAGTGTGGAGATGAGTGTGAAATATTTTACTTAAAAAGATACATAGATAGATGAATACATAAATGCATAGAAAGGAAAGGCTCTGAGTTTTAAGTGCCTCAAAGAAAAGGGTCTTTGTAAATTGTGAATCTCGGAATTATAAATGCTGTTTTTGTTATCATTACAATTATGATATAGACAATAAAAATGCATTCCCATTTCCCAAGACAAAAGCCAGTAGGTGAAGATTAGTAAAGCTAACTTACAAGAGGTCCGTGCTTCAGAATGCTATGTTTGGGCTGTCATAATAACTGTAGTGCAGAGTTATCATAGGGAAAAGATGACACTCCAAATGCCAAGCAGTCAGGCATTAATTTTTTCAGGACTAATAATCAAAGCAAGAAGATTATTTACATAAGCCTTTTCTCACATTATGTATTTATTTTTATTGTTTTCCTATAATCTTAATCATTTTTTCCCATTATTTGTTTCACATTCGGTTGATTCAAACAAGTCACTGTGAACTCAACGACGAAAATTCTTTATTGACTCATAGTTTGCCTGCGGACTCTGCTGTGGCAAAAGTTATTGTACTATGAATATGTAAATATATATATATATGCATGTGTATTTTTAGCCCCTTATATGGATACAGCTAATGGTTTTATACAGAATAATCCATGCAATTGTATAATGGAAGCATCATACCAAATACATTAATATTACTTGTAATAAATAGTTTTATTCATCTAGTCATGCATTTAGCAGTTTATGGAAATTCAGTGTGTAATTTTCACATGAAGAGCTGTGGCATTGTGCTTACAATTTGTAATTCTGTATTATCAGACTCAGGATTAAGCTGGATATTGTATCTGCTTTATTGAGAGTGTCTTCATAAATACAAGGTTTTAGGACATCAGATACTGTAATGAGTAATGTTTTTTTGCAGTGAACATACAAGGAAGTTTGTTGGACTTAAGATAGTAAGGCTATATAAGAAAAGAAAAACATTGTTTGGTTAGTATCCTCCACCTTTCAATCTGGGAAGACTCAAATCATAATTTTTTTTTACATATGTATCCATTTTATTTTATATTTAATTTATGATGGGTTAAGATCTATATACCACAGACAGTGTACATCAGTACTTGATACATACTAGTCTGGCTGCATGAACAGGATTCATAGCATTTCTTGCATTAATTTCATAAAGAGAAAAGAAATTTACTTGGGCTGGAGGGAATGCTAACCAAATATTTTTTTGTATGGCCTAATTATGTCCATTGAGATAAATATGTATTGTAGCTCTTTTGCTTGAGGAACAGATTGCTTTGAAGTACTTACTTAAAATCACACTTCTTACTTACTTTGTAGTGGGTATGGTTCAAACACAGGTTGAAATTATTGAACACAGTGGAGAAAGGAATGTCCTGTGGCTGTCAAAAAATTAGTGTTTTGTATATCAAAGGTCCCTCTAATTTTGTGCTCTAGGTGATAACTTCAAGTGTATAAAGGAACCTTATAGATGTATGTAGTCTTTGTTTTGAGTAAGATTTACACATAAAGACTAATTGTAAGTTCTGACTAGATGTGGTAAAGAATGTGAAACTGATGATTTAAAAGCATTCACTATTTCTAGAAGTAAATTGTGACTTCGGGGGGTATATAATCTTTGCTATTGATGTATTTTTCTGTCAGTAATCAAGAAAGAGAGTTGGCTGACATGTGAACAATAGTTGATGTTCAGATATTGTGATATGGTTTTAACATACTTTTTGGTCTTGTGGAATGTTAACATTGAAGAGGAATTGAAAAATTAAGAATATATATGAATTGTTATGTTCATGATTTCTCAACACACAGGTCTTATGGTTGCCGTGGATAGTATTATTTAGCACAAGTGGTGTAAGCTTTACAAAATGTGACTTTGCTTTGAAGAAATGTTTACAGATTTTATTATTCTGTGGGCTCTTAAAGGCTTAGCTACAAAAATATGTAGTACAGGTAGTAAATAATGAGGAGTTGAACTGTTTTAATAAAATTAAAATGATTTTTATTTCTTTTCTTTTTTATGGTGTTGACCCAGGCTTTGATCAAAACGTAGTATTATATTTCT